ATGGATCAGTGCAGTAATTGCATTGTTGCAGTTTACTCAAAATGGGAGATTAATCGTGATCAGTTACCAGAGAAAGAAGAACTGGAGAGAGAACTAACATTACACCATGGTAAAAAATACATGTACATGTACAACAATATGATGCTAGGCCAGCACACCATTAATTTTTAATTAAAAGTGTGGGTGATTTGATTGACTTTTTGTGCATGTTTTACATGTCAATGTACATGTAAATGTAATTAAGTGAGGATTAGCGTAATAGTGTGAACCCACCTTAAGTCTATATTTATATTCTATTTATTAATTTATTATTAATCTATTGATTATTTATTAATCATTTATTATTCTATTTATTAATATTATTATTTATTTATTAAGTGTTTTCATTTATTGTACATTTGTAGCTTTGTCAGTATTATGAGCAAGTGGTTCAGAGCAGGAATGACACTGGACTCCAGCTTATAGAGAGGAATGAAGAAGTCTGTGTCTTCCATGAGAAGATTAATGTACAAGGTACAAGAACATGCACATGTACATGTACATGTATATGACTATGTGTACAGTACAGTAATAATAATTACATGATTTTTTATTTTATTTTTTAGCTACAATAACACAGCAGGGAATTGCTAAGCTAGCTGAAAAAGAGGAAGAATTACAGTTCCTTAAAATGGAGGTACTATATACCAACAGCAATCATAATATTATAAGACTTTTATTTTATTTTTTATCTATTTTTCTTGTCTCTCTCAGCTTGCTAGACTCCAGAGAGAGATTAAGATTAATCGTGATCAGTTACCAGAGAAAGAAGAACTAGAGAGAGAACTAACGCTACACCAGAACATGGTAATGAAACACAATATACATGTACATGTACATGAATAGCATTAAAATACTGGATCTTAATGGTTTAATGGAATTTACATGTTCATTGTACACTTATGTATGCATCATCACAAATAATATTGATTTTATGTCTAAGGTTAATAAGATTACAGGTGCTATTTTAAATTAATTAAGATGGATGTACATGTACATAGACTACATGTACATGTACCTAAATGATAGTTATGCATATTTTAATTAACACAATACCATGCATGTACATGTTAATCTACATGTAATTAAAAGNGGATTTTTGGGAGTGAGTGTCCCAAATAAAAAATGTGCCATTATACACATGTCATG